AGAAATAACAAATCATTTTATTTAAAAATAGAAATGATATAAATCATTTTATTAAATTATTTGAAGATAAATAGTTTAAACTTTCACAGTAACATATTTTAGCCAAATAAATGAGACATGTGTACAAATAAATTATTAATAATCTCGTCATAGATAAAAATTAACTTGTTCACTGACATGTGTATGAGACATGCACAAATAAATGTGTACAAGAAACATGGGTGTATAGTTTTTTAGCCAATAAAAATTGATGTTTGTACTGTGATAATCTTTTCTTGTACGGGATATTTATTAATTCTTGGGATAAGGGTCAGATAGGGCCTCGAACTCGAAAAAAAATGTCAAATAAGGTCATATTTCGGATGCTCTGTCTGGCCGACGCCATTTGGGGCGGTTCCCGATGGAATTTTTTGATAAAATTTTTTGAGCATCTTCCTCATTAAGTCTAGTTTACCCATACCAAATTTCAGCTAAAAACTCAACCGGGAAGGTAGTCAAATGAGTTTTTGAAGATAACTGTGAAGTTAAACAACGCCGTACATTTCGGAAAATTATTTGACTACCTTCCCGGTTGAATTTTTAGCTGAAATTTGGTATGGGTAAACTAGACTTAATGAGGAAGATGCTCAAAAAATTTCATCAAAAAATTCCATCGGGAACCGCCCCAAATGGCGTCGGCCAGACAGAGCATCCGAAATATGACCTTATTTGACATTTTTTTTCGAGTTCGAGGCCCTATCTGACCCTTATCCCTTAATTCTTCTATGCACAATAACCGAAAATACTAATGTCAAAAAACATCTTTCCCTTAACCATTCATGTGCCTTCACTTTATTCATTCAACAAATAAAGTTGCTTAAAGGAGAAAAAAGTTTGTGAAGCAAATTCCTCCCTTCCCCGTTATTCACGCCGCCTTATCCGCCATCATCATCACCAATTCCCTCTTCTTTTTCCCTCCCCATTCCCACCCTTTCCACCATTCATTTCCTTCACTTCTTCCCAGTTCTACTTCTACACAACATGTCCGACCTGATGTGCTTATCAAAGCACACCACTTCTCCTCCGCCCAACACACGGTGGTTCTCCTCCGTCCTCCTCCACCTCATCGCTGATTTGTCCCAACTCTGTTCTTTAGTTCTCTCCCACCCTCTCTACTTCTCATCATACTTTCTAGTCCTTTTCACCCCTTCTCAAATCCTCACAGCCCTCACATATCTCTTCCCTCTTCTCCTCACTACCGCTTCCCTGTTCCTCCTTCCCCACCCTGCCGGCAGTGATCATAACAGTACTGATCCTCTTGCTGTGATGAAAAGATTGCAGCGGTCAAAGTTTATAGATGATGGGAGTGATGGGATTTTGGATACATTTGAGGGTTTTGAAGCTTATGAGAAGAAGATAGCTTTGCAATGTCCTGATGAAGCAATGGGTGTTCAAGAAAACCAAGTCCAGTTCTTGGTGGATCAATGTTTATCATCATTGTCATCAGTGGAGGATGAGGATGAGGATGAGATGTACTATTCATCAGAAGAAGCTGATGAAGAAAGTAATGCACCTACTGCAGAGGCAATGGAGGGTTGCCATACAGAAACTCCAAAATCAAGAAATTACAAATCTAATAAAGCTGCCTCCTTTCCCATGAGAAGTAGAGAGCGAAAGCCCGCGGTGGCGGGGAAGATGACATTGGGGTGGAGGATGTACGAGGAGAGGCGGTGCAGCGGAGAAGGGATGGACTTATTGTGGGAAATGCACGAGACGGAGTCGATCAGGAGCACCCCTAGCCCTGTCGCGATACACGCCGTAGAGGAAGAATCAATGGGAGATCAGATGAGGAAAAGCAAGAAAAGAGGGGATGATGAAGAAATGGGGACAAGCAGGTCATCATCATATAGCAAAGAGAGTGATGATGATGAAAGGGAGATGGTGATGATGGATGAGCTGTGTTGCTTGCAGGCACTCAAGAAGTTATCAGCTGCCAGGAAGGTGAACATGGGGGGGATGGGAAAGTCTAATCTTAAAAAGATTTCAAAAGCTATCAAAGGGATTGGATGGTTTAACCATTTGGGCAAGAGGCACAGGAAGAAGCAGGTGGTGCATATTGAAGACAACAGACTAATCTAGTCTAGCTAGTTACTAAAATGGCATTTGTCTTCTTCATCAATTTTGGTGTCACAATATCTCCTTGCTGTTGTTTTTTTGGCTTATGAGAGTTATTATACCTAGAAGTATGAGTATTGAAGACAATAAACTGTTTTCATTTTTAAATTTACACAAGCACAAAAGAAAATTCATCATAGGCTTAGCCGCTAAGGTGTTGTTCAGTTCATATTTATCTAATTTCTTTGTATGTATTTCTATTTTAATTAAATCAAGTCATATATGTTTTGAACATGTATTGCAATAAGAAGATAAAAAGAATATACACACAACACCAAAATAAGACTAAAGAAAGGGCATCTTGGTTTTATGTGCATCCGATTAGAAGAACATATAAAAGATGGATGAAGATGAAGGCTATTTTTTTGAGAGATCTAGAAGGGAAAGAGCCATAATAAGAAAAGGGAGGGGGAGAGGGAGAATCACCTAAACTAATAATACTAAGAACTAGCAAAATTAGTTTAACTCCCAACAATTTATTAGGAAAGGTACAAGTATGCTTAAAGAAAAGAGCAAACAAACAGCTCTACTCATTTCGATGGTATAAGGTCAGCTATTACGCATAGGGAACTCTGGATAGATTCCCATGTCCAACTATTTTCCAATTTGTAACTGGATGTTTACTTTTTTCCGGACCTAATCCTGACTGGGCCAAGCAAGACGCGCTTCACAAATAGCACCGGTTTGGGCCGCTGCCTAAAGTAAAAAAAAAAACTTATTGGGCCTAGGTATAATACAATGATACTCCGTATTAAAAATTGGAGGCCCTCTTAGGATTGGGGGCCCTGTGCTGGTGCACCAATTGCACCTGGGCCGGGCCGGGCCTGCCTAAAGTAAACTGATGGAAATCCCTAAAGTAAAGTCCATTTGCCAAAAGTTCTACTGTCCTCTTCAATCAAGCAACTCCACCTGTTTTCTCCTTTATTTTTACTTGAACAATAACAACAGAAGTAACATAACTTCTTTAATTATTATTATTTTTTCAAAATGGCTCCAAAATTTTAAAATTAAGAAAACAAATGAAAATGAAATGTGGTTGCTGTGTTAGTTGTTTGTATATATGTAGTTATCCTAGTTCTTATATAATTAAAATAAACAAATAAACTAAATGAGTTAAGAACATAGACAACTATAAACATAGAGTTTAAGTTTATATTTGGATTATTAGCTTATTTTATCCCAAATTATCATCAAATTTACAAATCTATCTTATTCTTTCACTTTTATTAAAAAAAGACTCAAACTTCATCTTTTTCAACAATAATGCTTTTCTTTTTTGTTTTTTCAAAATTACACATTTTTAACAATATACCACTAAGATATAATCATATAATCAATACAAGTTTGTAAACTTAAACTAAAAGAAGTGAAAAAATATGAAATGTAAATATGATTTTCTTCTTAAGTTTTACTAATTCATGTATAGAAAGTGTAATGGTTAGAAAAATTGAAGTTTGAGTCTTTTTATAATAAAATTTAAAGTATAGGATATATTTGTGAATTTAATGATAGTTGAGGGTATATTTAGCTAATAATCTTTTATATTTTTTACCTCCCAAAATATATTTCCTTCCAGTTTTTTATCTTCACTCTTTCCAACTTATTTTTTCTAAAAGAAAGGGAATTAATTAATTTCAAACATGATGAACCTTGGACGTCTTATTCATTTCACTTCCATATCCACGACAATGTTTTTTTTTTGTGTGGCAAAAACCAGTGGAGGACCTGGGGGAAAGGCCCCTACTTCGGCCCGTAAAATACTACTACCAACTATAATACGGAGTATATTTTATGCCCCGTTTCTTTAAAAAAAATACAATTTCGAGGTAAATTTTATGTTAAATTTATAAAAAATAAAAAAAATATTAAGAAAAAGTGTGTGAAAAATGAATTTTAAAATAAAGGGGAAAATGGCTATATAGCCTAAAATAATAGGCAATATAAAGTTAATAGCCTCTATTTTGTTTAATAAAATAGATAACACTTTTTTGTTGATATAAAACCCATAGAACTTTAAATAGCATATCTAACCTCCGTTCCTTATCACGTTTACAAATATAAGTGGTCCTTTTATATAAGAGATACTCCGTATTACCCAAAATGGGACTAAAAAAGTTTGAAAATTCCAAAATAGGACTTCCATATTTTTATTCCCAAAATAGGACTAATTACTGCCATGTTTTGGCAGTACTAGACTTCAAACATTGCAGTATTTTCCAAATTTAGTAGTAATTAGTTCTATTTTGGGAATAAAAACAAGACAACCCTATTTTGGAATTTTCGAACTTTTTTAGTCCCATTTCGGGAACTTTCCCTATATATAATAATGTTACGAAACGAAGGTCTTAAAGACTTAAACTAAATTCATTGACTCCAACAATTCAAGAGAAGACGGCAATGGCGGCAAAGGCTGTCCGGCACGTACATATCCGAAATTACATCCATAGACCGGTATATGTCACATATGGAGAACAAAAGACTGATATTTCTGCCTGGGAAAGTACTATAGTTTTTTTTGTGATAATTTAAGAAGATGACGACATAAACTAAAAAAAATTAAAAACCAGAGGTGCAAGAGATCAATTGGCGAGAGGTAGAGTACGTGAATACTCTGTATGATTTTTGGTGTGTTTATGCAATTGGAGAGGCCGAGAGGGATGATTAACGGGCGAACGGCAGAGGAAAACAAACCATCATATAGTGTACTGGTACGTGGGCATTAATACATGCTATCTAGTTTATTTTTAATAATCCCTAACATTAACTTAAAGTCATATATTTAATTGTGTATATAAACCCAATTTTCTCTAAAATAAAAAGGCGGGACAGTTGAAGTGAGAGAAGCCAAAATAAAGGAAATAGAGAAAAGTGGGTGGCAAAAATGAGAATAAAATTGAGGACCCAAACCAAGAAAAGCTAAACAAAGTTGAATTAGAAGCAGTAAACCAAAGTGTGACTTTTCTTTTAAAATTGGGATCAACTTGCTACGCGAATGGGGAGAAAGTAGGAACCCCAAGCAGGAATCGCAGAGCCTCCCTCAACCACACGCCGGCTCACTGCACGTGGCGTGACTTCTCCACGCCTCCAGCAGTCCGCTCTTCAAAGGATTCAGACCCTCTTTAGAGGTATGTTCAATTCTTCACTTTTAATTTAGGTTTTTGAATGGATTTTGTAAGATTAAATTGTAAATAGTATTATAATGCATATGTTTTTGTTTACTTGATGAGTTTGAGTCTTAAAATTATGAATAGGCTTCTAAGTAGTAACAAGATTAACTGCTTAAGTGACATCTAATTCAGCAATTGGTACTTGTTTCGTTATTATTAGGACTTAAAAGTATGAGTTTGGATAACTTTATCATTTCGACTAATAGGTCTTTGATGCAAAGATATAATTCTTCTAGCATTCCTTATGAATCTATCTCTAGTGTTGGAATTGATAATGCATCGAATGAAAATGTTGCTAGAGATGAAATTAATGAAATGGGGAGGGACAAGAGAGTCCGGACAGAAAATGTGAGTGAGATATTATTAGTGGTCCGGCATGATGAAAACCAATCAATGAATATGCGTGCGTATGGGGTTAGAGATAATGTGAGGAGAGCTAAGTACTTAAATCTCTACTTGGTAGCAACTTGGTCAAGATCTGATTAGCGAGTAGGACCTAGTACTCAGGATTACTCGGTGACTATTCGGTTCTATATAAATTAATTTTAAAATATAAATATCCAAAATTATAGTAATATAGAGTTTTTTTCCGTATTAATGCTAATTAATTAAGTATTTATGAAAATAGGGTTGGGTTAAAAGTATTGACGGATATACTGCTGGGCTTAACCCTGGTCGGGGTAAGTCGCCAAAGCGACTTATAAGTCGCCCAACGGGCAAAATTGTCTTTTGAGGCCCGCTGAATTTTACGACTATCGTGTCCGCAGGTCGCCCGCGCTGGGGGTGCGAATTTTCGATTCTGAACTAGAAGCCGGAATTCTTGTGCGCGCGAGGGCTCTCCTCTTCTCATTCACCTTTTAATACTAAGTGAAGAGTGGTTCATATTTATAGGCTCAAAAGTTCCCAAGGAGTTTAGGTGTGGGAAAGTTTAAAAGATTCCTTTTTCTCCTATACCTGAGAAGAGCATTTTTTCCATCTACCTTCTTTAAGAGCTAGTTTTTGAGCCACTTCAAACTTCAAAGTCCAAAACTCCAACACCAAAGGTCAACACTACAATCAAAGCTTCCAAGAATCAACCTTGAGATTAAAAAAAATCATGGTTAAGACTATTTTTCTCAAACTCCAAGCTACATCTCAAGGTCCATGAATTTGCAGAAAATTTCAATCAACCTCACGTCTACGGTCAACATTCAACAATCAGCAATGGATGTTATATAATACATTAATTTAAATTTTCCTAATTATGACAAATTACACAAACTCTTATATTCATAAGAAGAAAACATTATATACTTGTGCACTTGTGCATCCATATAAATGTTTAAAAACAGAGAAAAATTATAGAAAAGAAAGGGGTCGAGGGACCCCAACTTAATTTTCTTGGAACGAATCAAGGGAGCTTCACATTAGGACTAGGACTGGTTCGGTTCTTACTCAAAATGAGTGGAACCGTTACAAAAATTTTAACTAATGAAATCGATTCGGTTCCTATTTAAAAAATCAAGAACCGTTATGGAATCGAACCATTACTAAACCATTCAATTCCTTCTTTTTACCAGTTCCTAGAATAATTTTTTCTCATCCAAGAATTAAGCCAATTAGCATATAATTTACTTTCTACAACATAAACACGTCAAAAATTTAAAACACGGGTACTAAAATTTTATTTGAACTCAAACATCAAAACTCAAACATGACTAGTGAACTGTGAACAATTAATAGAACAAAAGATAATTTAATTTTTCATGTAATAAATAAAACATAAAATTCATCATCATAGTAACAAGTAAATAACGTCTACTTTTAGTCTTTCAAAACATAAAAAAATACATTGAGATGTAGCTTGGAGTTTGAGAAAAATAGTCTTAACCTTGATTTTTTTTTTTTTAATCTCAAGGTGACTCTTGAAAGCTTTGATTGTAGTGTTGACCTTTGGTGTTGGAGTTTTGGACTTTGAAGTTTGAAGTGGCTCAAAAACTAGCTCTTAAAGAAGGTAGATGGAAAAAATGCTCTTCTCAAGTATAGGAGAAAAAAGAATCTTTTAAACTTTCCCACACCTAAACTCCTTGAGAACTTTTGAGCCTATAAATATGAACCACTCTTCACTTAGTATTAAAAGGTGAATGAGAAGAGGAGAGCCCTCGCGCGCACAAGAATTCCGGCTTCTAGTTCAGAATCGAAAATTCGCACCCCCCTGCGCGGGCGACCTGCGGACACGATAGTCGTAAAATTCAGCGGGCCTCAAAAGACAATTTTGCCCCTCTTTTTTTTTTAATAGCTTATCCTGGTTTTTTAATTTATGGGTAAGTCGTCAAACGGTTGGGCGACTTATAAGTCGCCAAACGGAAAAAAACTTACCCCGACCAGGGTTAAGCCCAGCCAAGGTAGTCAAAGTCGTGAGGCGCACTCAAGGCGACGGAGTACTTCCATCGCCTGAGGCGCAAGGCGCAAAAAAGCGCTCGCCTGACTCATGTAAGGCGCATTACTTATAAAATATCACATATACTATTATGCAAGTATCAAACATGATGTATATAACATCATATTGAACCAACAACATTAAAAAGTCATGTTTCTAAAAAATAAATTCATGATTCACCAAAATAAATTCATGCATTTGCATCATTTTTATAAGCCAAGTAAAATTTAGCTTTCAAGAGCTGGGTTTGTTTTTCCTGATTTGGCAGCTTCAGGACCTGTGGCTGAAGTTCGACATTTCGTGTCCTGTAAATGTACAAGGCAGATATTATTTATACAGTATACTTCATGAAACTATTCAATGATTAGATTATATGAAGTGTACATGAATAAAAATATCAAATAAGAAAATGTTGATAAATGGAACAATAATTAGAAGAATGGAAAATACTTTCTAATTAAATGATTACAAAATGGAACATTGAAGAGTCACACATGATAGACCACTAAACTGGTAGTTTACAAATACATATGTTTGATTTGTATAGAGTTTTTAAGAAGTAGATGCTGAAAAAAGAAAAAACAAAGAAAATGGAACAGTGAAGGATAAGAAAACTTACTGTCATTGATTGTGCTGGCAGCTTCTGCGGTTGTTGTGGAGATAGCAAAGACTGAGGTAATGTAAGTAGAGCAGAGCAGGAGAGTTGACGACTTGAGTAGCGAACACCAAAACTGTGGCTTGTGTTGATTAACGCAAATTTACATCATTTTGACCTTTTATTTAGATACTTAATTGGGCTTTATCATATTAAAGATATGGGCTTCTGATTTAAAAAGGTTTGAAACTAAAATATTAGGCTTAAACGTGTGTTTCCACCCCAGGCGAGATTAGCGAGCGCTTTTTAGCGCTTCAGCGCTCCTGCGCTTCTGCGCATAACCTGCGCCTTACACTGATAGCTGCGCCTGGCCTTTGTTAAGTCGATAGGGCTGATGTGCGCTGCGCCTGGTGCGCTTAAGCGCCCAGGCGCTCGCTTTTGACTACCTTGAGCCCAGCAGTATATCCGTAAATACTTTTAACCCAACCCTATTTTCGTAAATACTTAATTAATTAGCATTAATACGGAAAAAAACTCAAAAAACATAAGTAAAACTAAACAGCAGTGAACGTGGGGCTCACCAAATGGCGCTTTCGTTCCACAACTGTATTACACCGTAGAATTTTGAACCCATCTATCACTCTTCTTATCGGCTCGACCATCAAATCGTCGCTGTTCTTCGTACGTTTCCGGCGAACTCCTACCTGTCTTCAATCCTCAAGTAGTAATAGAAATTGGAGTTTTATGCTGTAGCAGAGTGTAGGATTTTGATATGCCCTGATACTTACTGGGATTTCAAGTGCAGACAGGCTGCAGGGTGAGGATGCTTATCACCGACTCAATTTCATCTCTTATCATACCAGCTCTTGGAGTGGGTGGTGCACATGGTCTGTATTGCTCTCTTTTTCTTATACTCACGTGCCAAATTGATCGTCCTTATAGCCACCCCTCAAATAAGTGTGGTTTAGGAATTCATTCAATATTTTGCATTGATCTTTCCATTTTTTAAGCCAAACTGCAAGTTTTAATAATGAAAGATCAAGAAGATTAATGCTTTAATTCTTTCGATTTGATCTTTCAAATATGTCTACATTAATTCTTCTCACATTAAATGCTTTAATGTTTTGAAAAAAAGATGCATGTCAAACTTTTTACCGGAAAAAGATGATCTGTTTGGAATGTTATGTAATATATGTGCACTTTTCTGAAACCGTAATTAATTTGGGAGTATGGCTGGGTGATGACCATACATTCTTTTGTGTTGTGGTATGGACCAAATGTTAAAACAGAAAACAAAAGATGTAGGAACACAAAGATTTTTGGAATGGAGAGTGTTTATATAGACAATTAGGTTTGTGTGAATGACTGACTTGGTAGTATTGCCTGCTTTCTGTATTTTATTCTTTATCTTATCAATTGTAAGGATCCATACTACAATTGTTTCGCTGTATGGAAAGGATTTCTTTAATTGATGCTTTATAGGGGTGGATTTGCATGTGTTAATTTTCCTGAAGCTAAATTTTCATTTATAACAGGGTCTGCATTTTTGCTTTGCAAGGAGATTGCTAGTTTCCTTTGCAAACAAACACTCTAAGACTCTGTTAAGTTGAAATTGCTGACATTCATTTAGCCTGTAACGCATAACACAATATATTGCTTTAATATCTTCAGGAAAGCTTCCATCATTTAAAAAGGGTAGTCAACAATGGGAGAAAGCAAGGCATAAAACCTCATGCTCTTTTCAAGTTTCAGTTCCTCCAGGGGTTCAATTCATGAAATCCAATGCTGGGCAGTGCTTCAACTCACAAGCATTAGCTTTGGTGCAAAGATTAGCACTCCTTGATTTGGATCCTTCCACTGCCAAGTTGGCCATTGGCTTTGTTGAACCCCTCTTATCGGTGTTTTCTTTCTTGTTCATTATGAGGATAGTGATGTCATGGTACCCTAAACTCCCTGTCTGGAAATTTCCTTACGTGATAGTGTATGCACCAACAGAGCCTTTCTTGAGCGCAACGCGAAAAGTGATACCCCCTCTTGGCGGAGTGGATGTCACACCTGTGGTCTGGTTTGGACTGGTCAGCTTCCTTAATGAAATTCTGGTTGGCCCTCAAGGCTTGCTTGTTCTCTTATCTCAACAATTAGGCTCCTAAGGGTCATGGTATGGATGTAATTATGTCCACGGCAATACACTGGTCACTTTTGTACACGGCATTGACGTAAACATATGTGTGTGGTAAGTGGTAACCATGGGCAGAAGACCCAGAAATCTGAGGGACATGTGCACACCACATTTTTACTAATTATTGGATAATACGTAGTAATCTATATAATAACCCTTACGTAGTATCTATTATCTATTACTAATATTACTATATAAAACCATTTGTTTTTTTTGCTACATTTTCCCTGCAAAAACAATCATAATATCCTATGCAACTCATTGCAGTAGAAAATAAGCACAAAATATCAATAAAATGTCATGAAATCGTAAGGCAAAACTGAACAGGTTAGCTAAAATACTAAGAAACGGGAAAAAAAAAAAAAAAAAAAAAAAACTAAGAAACGGGAAAAATTTTACGGTGTCTGGGATTAAAAAATTCAGAAAGAGACATTCCGAATAGAAAAAGAAATTACAAAAAGAAACTAATCGGATTAAGGCATTCTAAATGAATGTAAAGAGGGAAAAGAAATGGGGCTCATGCAAAATATAAATCTCAACTGTTTTAACTTTTTTATTTGTATTTGTATTCCAACTTTTATTAAAACAATATAGCAACATTTCATAACGTTATACGTAGTATGACATTTCATGTGAAAGTGTGAAACCATATTGCATACTTTTTTTTTTAAATTGTACATTGTATAAGAGCTTCCATTAAGAGAGTTTTAGCTATTATAGAGAGAAGGCGGTCATAGAGAGTAGGCCTGGGACCGGTTCGGTTCCTAGGCAAAATATGGGGAACCGTTTGAAAATATGAAATTTTACTAACGGTTCGGTTCTTATAAATTATTTTATAGAACCGATAAGGAACCGAACCGTTCTTAACAGTTCGGTTCTTGTCAATTAACGGTTCCTGGTCCTTGGGAAAATTCTTACAAATCGCGACTAAATTTTTGCCAAAAAGACATTCAACGTTTGAAATTACAATACAAATATGCCGAACCAGTTAAAGAGAATAATAATTTTAATAGAGGTAAGGATCGGATTAGTACTCGAAGTTGCATAAAAAGGGTCAAATAAGTCCTTACTGTCCGGCCGTCGCCATTTGAGGCGGTTCCCGGTGGATTTTTTTGATGAAATTTTTTGAGCATCTTATTCATCAAGTCTAGTTTACTCATACCAAATTTAAGCTAAAAATTCAATCGGGAAGGCATTCAAATGAATTCTTGAAGATAACTGCGCTTTTAACTGTGCAGTTATCTTCAAGAATTCATTCGAATGCCTTCCCGGTTGAATTTTTTGCTGAACTTTGGTATGAGTAAACTAGACTTAATGAATAAGATGCTCAAAACATTTCGTCAAAAAATTCCACCGGGAACCGCCCCAAATGGCGGCGGCTGGACAGAGCCTCCTATATAAGGACTTATTCGACCATTTTTATACAAATTCGAGTACCAATATGACCCCTACCTCAATTTTAATAGTTTGGACCTTCCGAGTTCCGACCCGATGAAGTTTGGACCTAATGAGAGGCCCAAGAAGCCTAAGAGAACCGGTTGAAGTGAATAATAGTTTTAAATAGTTTTTTTTAACAAATAGTTTTAAATACTTAAATAACTAAACTAACATAATGAATGTAATATAAATATAAATAAGTAAATATACATTAAAATATATTTACTCATAAGAAATATATATAATTTTAATTATTATATATAACGGTTCCTTAACGGTTCCTAGTAGATATTTTTTTCAGGAACCGAGAACCGAACCGTTAATAAAAAAAATAAGAACCGAACCGTTAACAAATAACTAATAAATGTTGGAACCGAACCGAACCGGGTCATAACGGTTCGGTCCGGTTCGGTTCTCCGGTTCTTGGTTCCAAAGTCCCAGCCCTAATAGAGAGTAAGAAGAGGGTTCCCCAAATAATGAGGGAAAGCCTGCTATTTGTAGAAAAAAGGAGAAAGGGGGTCATGGGCATCACTGATCGGGCTCTGTATGAGGGTTATCCATTGGGTTCCTTAACAGTAACATGCAGAGATAATATATCTCAATGCAGATTTGATCTTTCAAATATGTCTACATTAATTCTTCTCACATTAAATGCTTTAATGTTTTGAAAAAAGATGCATGTCAAACTTTTTACCGGGATAAGATGATCTGTTTGGAATGTTACGTAATATATGTGCACTTTTCTGAAACCGTAATTAATTTGGGAGTATGGCTGGGTGATGACCATACATTCTTTTGTGTTGTGGTATGGACCAAATGTTAAAACAGAAAACAAAAGATGTAGGAAGACAACCTGAAGTGTCCAGCAAGTGGTGTGTTTAACGGCTTTGATTTGTTCATGTTGAATCGTTCCAACACTTTCTCAATATACCTCTCTTGGGATAGCCACAACAGTCTCTTCGATCTATCACGAGTTATTCTGATCCCAAGGATTTGTTTAGCCGGTCCCAAATCTTTCATGGCGAAACTCTTGCTTAGATCCTTTTTCAAGGCATCTATCTTTATGTGATCTTGTCCAACGATCAACATATCATCAACATAGAGTAGAAGTATGAGGAAGTCGCCACGTTCATACCTCTTTATGAAGACACAATGATCGCTTTTCGTCTTTGTGAAGTCATGCTCCGCCATGAAGGATTCAAACTTTTTGTACCATTGCCTCAGTGCTTGTTTGAGGCCATATAAACTCTTCATGAGGCGACATACTAAGTTTTCTTTGCCTGGAACTTTGAACCTCTCGGGTTGCTCCATGTAGATCTCTTCCTCTAGGTCGCCATGAAGGAATGTCGTCTTGACATCGAGTTGTTCAATCTCCAAATCTTGCACTGCTGCTAGGCCAAGGACAACTCGGATGGATGCCATCTTTACCACGGGAGAGAATATTTCCTCAAAGTCGATGCCTTTTTCTTGACCGAATCCTTTGAAAACTAACTGAGCTTTGTAGTGAGGCTTTGAGCTACTATCTTCGGTCTTGATTCGATATACCCACTTATTCTTCAAGGCTCTTCTCCCTTTTGGTAGGTCCACCAGATCATAGGTGTGGTTCTCATGCAAGGATTTCATCTTTTCTTGCATGGCTCTTCTCCACTCTTCTTTATGAATATCATTGATTGCTTCTTTGTAACTTTGCGGCTCCCCCTCATCCGTGAATGTAATGTAAACTTCGGTGTTATACCGGATGGATGGTCTTCTCTCCCTAGAGGATCGCCTTGGCTTTGGTGTTGGCAGAGAACTAGATTGAGGATCTTCATGATTTGATTCATCATGAGTCTCTTGGTTGCTTTGCTCATGGTTTTCATCATCATTATCTTGACGTGTTTCATCCTCGCGTCGAACTGGAGTTGGTTCGGTCCTGTTGTTGCTTCTCAATCTTGGTTTCTCCGAGTTTTTAATATCTTCAATCGTTTGGTCTTCGAAGAAGATGACATCTCTGCTACGAACAACCTTCTTATTGATTGGATCTCATAGCCCATAGCCAAATTCGTCCTTGGGTGAGCGAAGGTAGATACACTCCTTCGTCTTTGCATCAAGCTTTGTTCGCTCATCCTTGGGAATGTGAACAAATGCTCTGCACCCAAACACCTTAAGATGATTGATTTAAGCCTTTTTTCCCGTCCAGACTTCCTCTGGGATGGCTCCGTTCAAAGGGACCGATGGTGTGAGGTTGACAATGTCAACTACGGCCATTATAGCTTCTCCCCAAAATGATTTGGGTAACTTAGCATGAGAGAGCACACAACGAACTCTTTCTTCAATAGTTCTATTCATTCTCTCAGCTAGCCCATTCAGTTGTGGTGTCTTAGGTGGAGTCTTCTCTAGCCTAATACCATATTTCTTGCAATAGGCTTCAAAGGGACCTCTATACTCACCTCCATTGTCCGACCGTACACACTTGATCTTTCGACCGGTCTCACGTTCTACTTGAGCGTGGAATTCCTTGAAGGCGTCAAGCACTTGATCCTTGGATTTTAACAGGTGCAACCATACCTTCCTTGAATGATCATCAATGAAGGTCACGAAGTATAATGCACCACCAATGGATCTCTCGGACATTGAGCACACGTCGGTGTGTACAAGGTCAAGAATATTCTTTCTCCTAGTGGGTGGAGAAGATCTTTGGAAAGCAACCCTGTGTTGTTTTCCAGCTAAACAGTGTGCACAAGGATCGAGTGAATTACCTTTCATGTCCGGGAGGAGATGCTTCCGAGCGAGTATGTGAAGACCTTTCTCACTGATGTGCCCAAGTCGTTTATGCCATACCTCCATGTCATCAGTGGTTACGTTTACCTCTCCTTTGCAGAGTTTGGCTTGCATCACATACAATGACCCTTCCTTCTTTTCTCGAGTCATGACCAGACTTCCTTTGGTGAGCTTCCATTTTCCTTCACCAAAGTAATTCATCAGACCAGCATCGTCTAGCTTTCCAGCTGAGATAAGATTGAGGCGCATGGCCGGAACATGCCTCACATCTTTGAGAACAAGCTTACATCTGATGCTAGTTGTCAGGACGATGTCTCCTATCCCAACGATCTTGCTTCTATCTTGATTTCCCATTTGAACCGTACCAAAGTCGCCACTTTGGTAGGATGAGAAGAAACTTCCATGGGGAGTGACATGGAAGGAAGCACCAGAATCGATAATCCAAGAACTATCATCACAAGCAATGTTGAGGATATTACCTTCTCCAACGAGGTATAGCAGATCTTCTTTTGAGACTACGACAATGGTACACTTTCTTCTTGCTTCTTCGTTGGGTTGACTTGGTCTGGTTTGATGTTACCAGCCTTCTGATCTCTCTTGAAGGATCGACACTCCATTTTCCTGTGGCCCATTCTTACACAGTAGTAGCATATGATCTTCGAGCGTGACTTGGACCTTCCTCAAGATTGATGCGAATCTCGGCTCTTACTACGTCCACGAGTCTCATTCCTACCCCGGTTCTCAATAACATTAGCCTCGGGATGGATAGACTCACCTCGTTCCATTCTCCTTGCTTCTTCACCGAGAACGCTATCACTAACGGCATCCATGGTGAGCTTTCCTTCCGGGGCTGAGTTACTAAGTGTAACTACAAGAGTGTCCCAACTTTCCGGCAAGGAACTAAGGAGTAGAATGGCTTGCAACTCATCATCAATCTTCATCTCAATTTTGGTTAATTGACTTACGAGCCCCTTGAAGTTGTTCAAGTTTTCAATCATACTATGACCATCCTTATACTCCAACTTCACCAACCGTCGAACTAAATTTGCCTTATTACGAGGTGTTTTCTTTTGGATCATGGACTCAAGCTTTGTCCATAATTCATAAGCATTTGTGAAAGTAGAAACATGCTCGAAGAGAGATTTGTCGATGTACTTACGAATCATAGCAACGGCCTTCCGATTTAGTAGCTCCCACTGGGCATCACTCTTGCCTTCAAGTTTCTCTTTGTAGATGATGTGCTCATACAAATCCTTGCAGTATAAATGATCTTCCATCATCGGCTTCCAATATGAGTAGTTGTTGGCGGTGAGCTTGAACATGTCTCCATCATGAGCAACGTTATCCTCCATCTTGAACTGCACGAGCTAATGACGATCTCAGGTGAACCTGGCTCTGATACCACTGTTGGGAAAAACTCCGGACTTTCCCCTTCGTGAAGTTAAGATAGGCACTTAGGAATCAAGGTAGCAATGGGAGCACACGATTTAAATTCTCCAATATGGAGATTCTTCCACTATACAAAAGAATAGTAGGATTTACAAGGATGTTACAAAATTGTCTCACTCAATGGTGGCTCACTCAAGCTTGAGAATAGGAACTTCCCAAGCTATCTCTCTTCTCTCTCAAAGAGACTCTCTAACTCTCTAGCTTTCTCACTCTAAGAAGTGGATTCTCTCTTACTAGGATGGTTATGAATGGAGGCCTCTACTCCTATTTATACTACTCCACCTTCACAATGAATGGTGGGGATGATTTCTATCTAAGGGTGAAGATTGATTCTCTAGAATGCTCCACACACTCTAGGAGTCTCTATACTCTTCCACTCTCTTCCATACCCTTCCATACTCTTCCATAAGCTTTCGAAAGGTTCCACACATCTCTAGAATATTCTAGAGGATTCCACACTATTCCACATACTTCTAGAGAGTTCTAGACTTCTCTGGGATTCTCCAGAACTTTCTAGAAAATTCTATACTTCTCCAGAAAGATCTAGAATTTTCTAGAACCTCTCCAATTAAGGAGGGATCCCAACAACATCAAGCTCACACGTTTCCTGAAAATGTAACATGATATGATAATGCAAAATTTTAATGCAAACACAACTAATTCCAAACTGTGGGCAAAAGGCATCTACTGTCATAAAAGTATCAACTTTGAAAGTGAAGCATAGCTATGATTACGAAGATGGCAGAAAAGATAAAACTGAGCAAGCAACTCCTACGTCCTACTTACTAGGCCTGGACTCGGGCCGGTTCGGGCCCGGGCCCGGCCGGGCCTCGATTCAGGAAAGGGGAGGCCCGGAACCGGGCCGGGCCTCGGTTCAATTTTTTTTTTTTTTGCCTTTTCCTAATTAACCCCTAACCCCCCCCCCCCACCCCCACCCCCAAACCATCCCAAATGACCCAAAATACCCATCCCAACCCAAAAACTTAAAAAAAAAAAAAAAAAAATGGCTCGGACCGGAACCGGCCGGGCCGGTTCACGTTTTGAGGGGCCCGAGCCCGGATCGGAACCCCAACGGGTTGGGCCTACCCGAACCGGTCACTGACCGGGCCACCGGGCCGGGCCGGAACAGTGCCGGTTCCGGGTCGGGCCACCCGGCCCGAGTCCAGGCCTTCTACTTACCATTCATATAGAAGTAACAGAACATGATATAGAGTAATTTCATTATATGAGATTGGAGCATTGGTGTGGACGCAGTCCAGTTCCAGCTCATGTAATAGGAGCGAGCAGAGCTTTAACTCTTTAAGTCTTTAACGGGGTAATTAATACCAGTTCAGGTCCTTGGTTCAGTTGATTAGGCTATTTCAAAAAAAAAATAAAAATCCACCCGCTGCAGTCCTATTTTGGAGGAACCAGACTCCCGTACCAGTTCTGATCCACGACCAGAAAACTGGTGTAGTTTCTGGGCAACAAAACTGACTATACCATGGGTCCGCCAACAGCCTTGTTTGGTTGTAGAAAGTCTGACCAGGGAGTAGGGGGTGATATTTATTGTAAAGATAAGTTCTACATTTAGACAGTTGAAAATAAAGTGAAGATAAGAAACTATGTATAAATACATGTTCTAACTAAAAAATTAGTTATTTCTAGTCTAAAACTAAGATAGATATAATAATTAGTAAAACAAATATCAAACCTCTCCTCCCCCTCCATCCAAAATCTCCAAACAAACAAAAACCTTAAAGATTCTAGTTCAAGGGGTTAAAATGAGCAAAATGATAAAGCAAATATGTGTCTGGTTGGGAAGAGAAAACATTGGAGACAATCGGGCGAACTTATATTATGGTTTTGCACATGGCATAGACATTCTTCTATTGGAGTCATCGAATGCTGCTTCAGTGGACTTGACATCTGATTTGGTAGCAACTTCATCTGTGCCACCTCCCTCATCAGTGTTCACCACTTCATGGAGTTTCCTCTTCTTTAATGCCAAGTCCGGTTTATCCTTCTCAGTTTCCCTTCCTTCATCAGACTCTTTATCTGGTTTGGGTTCATCAGGAGGTGGAGGAGGGAATAAAGGTGGTTCTCTCCCACTCAATCTACAGAAGACATCCTCAACGGTGCCAGTTATCTCCTTCCCTATCCCATTGTGATCCAAAATGAGCTCCCACACTGATTTAGAAGCTTTTTCAAGCACTGAAGTCCTGTCAAGGTTAAACAAAGCATAAGTACAGTAAGAAGTAAGAACCCATAAAGAATAATGCAAATATGTAAGCTCCTGAAAGCAAGATGACCATTATTTCATATATCTAAAATAGAATGCAAATACTAAACACTACATTTTAAGTCACTTTTTACTTATTTATGAGACTTGTTCCCCCCCCCCCAAAAAAAAAAAAAACATGACTATGAGACAATATGTGCCCTCCCAAAAAGTCACATTTTTTCGAATGAAGCTGATTTTTCGTTTCAACTTTCCAAAAAAGAGTCACAACAAAATCTATGTATGTAAAGTCTAGCTAAACTATAGGACAAATTTGAAAAATGTATACATGTCTGAAAATTTACGAAATTTAAAAGTTGTACTTTACGACTCTCTTTCTTATGGATTACTATAGATCGCTACTCCCATTCACCAGCATTTATGCCTTGTGGTATTATTCACAATCTATAGGGTATACAAGCAAGTCTTCTTCACAATCCGTTCTTCTACTCGGACCTCCCATATTTGCCATTTAATCACCATGGGAGTGTTTGGCAAATGGTTGTTGGTTGTTGGCTGATTGTGTTAGCTGATTGATGACAGCGGATTCCGTTGGCTGTTTTGATTAGCTGATAGTATTAGCAGTTTATAAAATGATGTTTGGTTAAATAGTTGTTTACAATCAACTAATAAATTGTTAAATGACTTTTAAGGACATGAATTAATTTTTTTGTTAATCCAATTTTAAAAAACCATTTGAGCATTTGTTGTTACAACGTTATCAAAACTTCTTTTCCATATTTGTTTAGAAACTAAAGAAGGATCTAAACAACATAAAAGAAGTAATTGAGTCTACCATGTCAATGTTTCGGGCCAATTTCAACTCAGAGCAGTAGAACACGTTCACACCAAACTAACATGATAAACACAAATATGAAACTAAACACGATAAACACACTATGAAAGGATTGAGAAATTGTTCCTAAAATTCACTTAATGGAACACGAATATTGTAATACCTCATGGACTGAGCATACAACACTCACCGACGACTATGACCAAGCATATCAACCTTTAAGAAATAGAAAATTTAAAGAAGAAATTGACATGGAGATGACCAAATTTAAGAAGTGTATTGACAAAACTTTGGAGGAGAACAATCGGGTAGTTGGTCATCGGAAATGGAACGGGTTGGTCTCAGGCTGTTTTTTTCCTTTTCGGCGGAAGCAATTTTCTGCTAGTAGAAGGGAGATGCGGAACATGGATGGGTAATATAGGAAAGATATGGCAACGCCAATAGTAAAAGCTATGATTAATGGCGTTTCATATTTTGGCTGTTTGGGACAACAAGCCAATTGAAAAAGCTATTTAACCAAACACATAAATTAGCTAATTGAGCTGGTCAAAAGGCCAAACATGGTCAAATCAGCCAAAAAATGGCTGATAGGCTCTTAACCAAACACACCCCATATCTAACTGCAGCATCTTCATACAGCCATTAATATACCACCATATATGACTGTAGCATCCTCAGACTAGAAGCCTATTTGGTAATACCCAAATTGGCTAGGTTGATTCTGTTAAAATTTATGAAGTTCTGTATAAAGGCACATATTTATGAAGTAATACCCTCCGCGCTCCACAGACTAGAAGCCTATTTGGTAATACCCAAATTGGCTAGCTTTCAAATTAATACAACAGTTATGTTTTTCATACAGAGTGCATGTCCAAATCTGTTTCCCCCTCCGTGTTCCAAAAAGTCTGTTTTCCAAAACTAGAGAGACGGATTTCAACATGCGAAGTATTATTCAAAAGCTTCTCATGTTAAATTGTAGGCTGATTAAAGGGTCGTGTTAGAAGATGTGTGCTGTCTAACATGACCCTTTATTTAACGGAAGTAGCACTATTTATCGTGTTAAATGCAATTCTAGCATTGGTAGGTTGACATAAAAAATCCGAATTCAGTAGGCATGATTCCACCTCTTAGAGCACTCAAACAAGTCACTTGGAGTGTTGCCCTTCACTCCTTCGATTTTTGCTTTGCAGGGCTTTTCGAAACAGAGTAACTCACAATTTATAAGCTTCATGAACAATAGTGAGTATGTTGACTGAACAGTCTTGAACTTGCGAGGCAAAATCATAAGCATCGCTTACAGAAAAGATGGGGATTTTTTGTACAAATGTGATTCTTAAAACAGGAGAGCCTAACATGATAATGGCCTCTAGTCCAATGTCTTTAGTAACGGATGTAAATGTAGAGTTTAGTCATCTCTTACGGGGTGAATTTATTGTTCTAAGTGATTTTGTCACAGACTAAAGAAATTGCAGGAAATTGTGAATAATCCAGGACAATCTTTTCCATACCTTTTTCAGATACCCTCCTAGTTATCTTATCTCTTTTGCTAAGTGATTACAAGGGATCTCTTGTGCTAAGAAATTGTGATAAATCGCTATTCGGCGGCAACTCGGTCAAGAACTGAGTAAGGATTAGGGCCGATTACTCGGCCCTGTATTAATTAAGCTTAAAAATATAATAGCCTCAAAATTCTAGTAATATATTTCTTGTAATTCTTAAATATGAATAAAATAATAATAATAATAATGAAGTAGCAACAAATCCCAACAATCATAAACATTCTAATTTCCAAGAAAACCAATCACATAATAATACTTAATTGTGAACTTTTTTCCTAAAGAAACTAATCTTCATTGGGTTTAAGGTCATCATTTTCTTCTTCATCCTCGAGTCCCCAAACCTAGATTGACTCTGTAATCTTATTTTTAACAAATTTTTGAAATACCTACTAAAAATTCATAAATTCCATAATGTCCCGATTTAGTTTATAATTTTCAGATTTAACCCCAAAAAATTAATTTTACTTGATGCCGAGTAACTCAGCGAGTCAACATTGTCACCGAGTAGTGAAAATTGCCGAGTACTCGCCGAATTACTCAGAAAAAGGAAACAGTGCGACTCGAAGTACTAATTGGCAAGGCCCTACCCTGAGTAGCGAGTACTTGGCTAGTACTAGGCAAGTACTCAACAATTAGATACACAGGCTAAGGGAAAATGTTAGGGTTCTGGGATTGAGAACGGGTCCAAGGACGACTTGCTGTGGCAAGGTGTGTCGGTGAGGGCAGAACCTGCCGCCTAGGGTTACTCTTCTTCTTGCCCGTGGCTGGAAGAGTGCAGGGAGGAGAGAGAGAGTCCGTGACTTCTCTGCGAAAAATTTCTAAAGATCGATAGATTTTATTAAGGCTGAATAAAGAATATAAATAGGCAGTCTGCCCTGCCCTCTACCTGATAGAGTTCTACTCTAACTAAAACTGTAACTTCTAATACTTCTATTAATAATAGGAAATAATAAATAAATAAATAAATAAATAAATAAATAAATAAATAAATAAATAAATAAATAAATAAATAAATAAATAAATAAATAAATAAATAAATAAATAAATAAATAAATAAATAAATAAATAAATAAATAAATAAATAAATAAATAAATAAATAAATAAATAAATAAATAAATAAATAAATAAATAAATAAATAAATAAATAAATAAATAAATAAATAAATAAATAAATAAATAAATAAATAAATAAATAAATAAATAAATAAATAAATAAATAAATAAATAAATAAATAAATAAATAAATAAATAAATAAATAAATAAATAAATAAATAAATAAATAAATAAATAAATAAATAAATAAATAAATAAATAAATAAATAAATAAATAAATAAATAAATAAATAAATAAATAAATAAATAAATAAATAAATAAATAAATAAATAAATAAATAAATAAATAAATAAATAAATAAATAAATAAATAAATAAATAAATAAATAAATAAATAAAATATGAAAATAGCATCAGGATAGATTCCTCTTCCAATTAAACTTCCTGCCGGCCCATATGTTTCCTCCTGCGATAGGGAATTCCATAAAATGCATCCGTAACATCACTCCCTCCCTCAAAACTGAGCTTGTCCCCAAGCTCAAATCCTAGATAAGCAGCAATAAAAGTGTCAAACGGTTCCCAAGTTGCCTCCTCAGCTGTGTGGCCTTGCCAATGGACTAGCAGCTCCTTCTCACCTCTGTTTAAACGGCAGTGCAGAACATTGGCTGGTACTGGCAGGGCCTTGTCGTCCTTCAGCGGGGGTAGCAGCCCTGGTGCTGGTGGAACACTCCCTTGATGAGGCTTTAGTAAAGACACATGAAATGTGTTGTGTATTTTGCTTCCTAATGGTAACTCCAACTGATATGCCACACTGCCCACCTTTGCTAATATTTTAAATGGCCCATAGAATTTCGGAAGCAGTTTGTGTTGCTTAGAGCGACCTACTGTGAGTTGTCGATACGGTTGTAATCGCAGCCACACCCAATCACCTACATTAAACTGTAAGTCCCGATGATTATTGTCATATGCTCTCTTCATGCGCTGTTGGGACAACAATAACTGCTCTCTTGCGGTGGTTACAAGCTCATCACGATTAATGAGTTCCTTATCAACTGCCTCCAGTCGTGTGGAGCCTGCAGAATAAGCCAATAACCGAGGTGGTTCTCGGCCATATACCAAGCGAAACGGTGTTTCTCCTAGTGATGTATGGTAGGAAGTATTGTAACAAAATTCAATCCACGGTATCCATTGCACCCATTTTGTTGGCTTCTCTCCTGTCATGCATCGCAAGTACATCTCTATAGTGCGATTAACGACCTTGGTTTGTCCATCAGTTTGCGGATGGTAAGCGGACGAAAAGGTGAGCTTTGTTCCAGACAGACGAAACAATTCTCTCCAAAATGTACTCATGAAAACCTTGTCACGATCAGAGACTATTGTTTCCGGCAGACCATGCAAACAGACAATCTCATTGAAGAAAATTGTTGCTACTGATGGCGCGGTATATGGATGGGACAAGGGAATGAAGTGAGTGTATTTTGAGAAACGGTCCACCACCACGAGCAGGACTGATTTCCCCTTCACTTTTGGC